CATTCGTGCATGGCATATCGTGAATTTTGTCGCCAAATGTGCGATTTCTCGCCGAATATGGCAACCCTGCTTTCCTTTGCCATTTTTATGGCAACTCTCTCTCTATATAAAGGTGGTCTGGCTTTAATGGGAAAGCTGTCTTTTTTTTTTTTTTCCTGAATTAGTCTATGAACTTTAACAATCAAAGGCAATAATCATTTATATAAATAAATAATTTATTTGTTAAAGTCAATTTCATATTTATTATTAAATTTGGACGCAGTTTTTTGTAATACCTTATGTGTTTCACAAGCAATTTAAGCAGCTCATTATTTTAGTGCAGGAGTTAGTGCTAAAGCTGTTCAGATATTTAAATTCTAAATTTTAGGTATTTAGACGACAAACACTAATAATTGTAATTGAATAATTTTAGTAAAATATCTTAATTTATCTTTGCCAGTTTAGGAATTGCTTTAATAGTGCAGTTAAACTTTTAACAAAAACTGTATCTAAGTTATATCTATACAATATTATATGAGTAGATGAGTCAATTTTTAAATTGCTTGAAACATCTGATTCCAAATATTTATTTTCTGTCCCTGTTATTCTGATATACTCTGTCCAATCATGATGTGCTAGGCTGTAAGATATTTCCTTCCTCATTATACATGCTACCATGGTGTAATTGAAAGCACATCCGACTAGCAGTTGGGATGTCTGGTGTCTGAATCCTGGCAAAGCTATCATTGGTTTTTGTAGTTCTTGCTTCGAAAACCTAACGATAGTTGTAACAAGTAGTGCTGAACTAAAATACGGATTATTCATCACAACCAGGATTTGGTGACTGTGGACTCTATCTGGTTTCTCCCACTGGCCCTTTAAGTGGAAGAGAATGTAAGTTATTTCTTCCCTGCTTTTTAGCATGCTTTTATGGAGTAATTGGAAACATATCCAGCTAACAATCAAGATGCCCAGAGTTTAAATCCTGGCTAAGTCATCATTTGTTTTTCATCTTTTTATCTGTAACCAGTGCTCGTACGTAAAGATGTTTTGTGGATTTATGTTCTGAGGCTTAAGCAGATTACAAGTTCCTTTCAAAATGAATTAATACAGACAACATTGCTATTGCAATGGTTAGTACTAACAAAGTAATTTCATTTCAGCTAATTTTTATGCATGAGTAACTTATTTTAATTGCACAAAGACAACAGTTTGCAGTTTTTTGCTTGGCTTCCTTGGCTTGCAGCACTATTTATGAACAATGTGCTATAGCATCATTTTTTCTTAAAAATTTAACAAAATAAATTTTTAAACTGTTACAACTCTTACAATTTACATAAATTAATTTTGTTTTGATATAATTATATATACAATAGAAAACCAGAAATCCGCAATACCTGGGACTAGAGGTTGTGTGGATTTTGCATATTTTAGGACAGGGAAGAAAGATAACTCATAATAGTATTTAGATTAAAAACTCGAAATAAATAAGGATATGTACAAACATTAAAGATATATACAGCAAAGACATATGAAAATAAGGAACATTAATGAAGCATAAAATATTTTTTAAAAATGTTTTAAACATTTTTCTGATAGAGGTTTGTTTTAAAACTTAAGGGTGCTCCAGGTTAACCCTTTGGCTGTTCATCCCGCGATTTTCATGGGCAACTCAAATGTAGCAAAGTCTGCTCATCCCACGATTTCTGCGGGCATGTGTTTTTCTTCCTATATTGAGGAGCGCATCCCGTTTTTTCCCCCGTTTAACCACTGAAATAAATTATATACAGTATTAGATGTTTAGTTTATGCTTTGGCCAACAGATATCGTTAGTTGTCCACTAAATTGTGGCGTTTGAAGGCACGTGGTATTACCGGTCACACTCCACTTTTTGCCGCTTTTTTCTTACAAAAATGGCTGCTAGAAAATATTCAGAGATTATCTTGATTATTTAATTAAATTATTAATTACATTTATTGGTTAGATTAATAATTAGATTGATTATTAATTATTAATTAGATTTATTGAATCCGGTGCAAAGACTGTGAAGTTGGACTTTGCCTTGAACCCTGTTTTGAATTCTGTCATACTAAATTGCATTTCTAAGATATTTTCCCCTCATTGCTTTATATTTTCTTAAATTTTATATATTTTACCTTTTTATATTATGCAATAAATAGAAATTAACTGTAATTTGACTGAAATTTGTGTAAAAATTTTTTTTGGGGTGATGACATCTGAAATTGGTTTTTCTGGCAACTTAGCTTCTCATGATAAAAATCTATATCAAAAAATATTTTCTAGAAAGGAAAAATGTGTTTTTCAATTCTCCAATATATATAAATTTAAAATTAAAAAAAAATTTTTTGAAGCGATTTTAGTTTACAAATTGAGCAGCCAGAGGGTTAAGCTTTTTTTAAATTACATAAAGTCATAATTTCTTGCTCTATGACACAGCTCTGTTCTAAAAATTTTAGATATTTTTCACCATGTTCCAAACTTTTATTAAAGTATATTTTTTCACTCTTATCAAATTCACTATCGGTGTCAGTGTCAGAATAGTTTTCTTGCTGTGTTGAGTTCAAAATAGAGGCAAAGAATTTTATCATTGATCATTTGGTGTTTTGAGAGAATATATATAGCAAAGCACACTAGGGCTATCTTCGTAAAGGGTGGGATGCTTTCGTGGAGTACTTTCTAAGGGAAACTGGCTCGTATACACGTTACACATGGGGAAAACCACAAAAACGCCCATGCAGTCAGCCCATTCGTGGGATTCGAACCTCGGACCAAACTACCAGTGTTCAGCGACTTTACCGCTCGGCCGCTGGTGGGCCCATTGATCGTCTGATATGCTAGCATTGGCTCATATCATCTGTTCATCATATTTTTCTAACAAAACCTCATTTGTTTTTTCTTTTTAATATAGAAGCTATTGTCTTTGCTGCATTCACCCTAAAACCAGAAAATTCACTGTCTTCGCTCTCAGTTTCAATAAACAGAGAAGATGGACCATACATTACACGAACCACTTACTAATGTTGTTTGAGAAACGGAATTCCATTACTCTGCTAACAAATAAATGAAGTTTTTGATAGTGAAATTTTTTTTTATAATCGCGAAACGAAATATAATTGTCCATTGAAAGAACTTTTTTTAGAACTCCAATTTGTAGTGGCTTTTAATACTGTATTGTGCCCTGGTTCATTGGTTGGATCAATGATGTAGCATTTGGGGCAAAAAATTAGCCACAGCATTGTCATACATTAAAATGGTTGTAGAGGAGTTATCTCTAATAATAGTAAAATCTTGTACTTTAATTGGAATCTCATACTGCTACAATGCTCTCTAGCCTCTTTAACTGTAATCCATGAATCATTTAGTCATAAGTTGTTTTGTGAACTAGGAATTTTTATTATTCCTGTAACTCATAGGTAAGGATTTCACTCCTTTTAGAGCTCTGGGATTGGTGCTCTTTCCAACTACCATTGACTTACATTTGTTAAGTTTCAGCTGTATTGCTGCATACTAAAATAGCAATTCTTTCTTTAGCTTCTTTCACAGCTGATGGTGTACTTTCTTTGCTTGTCGTAATGTCTTTCTTGGTAAACATCACCAAAAAGTCCAGTCTTGTCCATATTAAAAATCTGTTAATATTGGCTAAGATTATAAACTTTACATGCAAAGTCTAAATGTTCTGGGCTAAGATAAATAATGTAATGCTAATAAATGTTTTGCGATAAGATAAATAGTGTAATGCTAATAAATGTTCTGGGCTAAAATTTTCTTCTGCCACCATCACAGAAAATTCATCAGTAAATTCCTCTGTAGAAACTTTGTCTGCTGAAAGGTTTCCTCTGTAGGCTTTCTGATAGCGTATACTGCGTCTGCTTAAATTTGTTCAGGCAACTGCTGCTAAAATTGCACATCTCTTCTTATTTTTAAATCAACATCAATCTTTTTTCTCTCAGGAGTGGACCTGAAATTGATCTCTGCTGCTGCATCACTCTGCTGCTACTGGAACTAACTTTAATAACACTTGTACAAGGCAGCATTGAGATCTACCTATATTGCTTGTTGCAAAGATGTCTGATTTTGGATTCCAGTATTAGAATCATTAGCTGTAACATTTCATCAGCCTTTTTTTATTTTTTCATATATCATAAATGATCCATGTAGCAATAACCATACGATGCCTGCTATAAACTGAGAGAAGCACCTCTTTCCATTTACTGTAAAATTTCCACTTTTTGCAGTACTTTTTTTGTTATTACAACATGTTTATGTTTTTCAACATTGCAAGCAATATAACCTGCCGTTCTATTAAGAAGGGCAGAAATTAAAAATATTTTAAATTTTATCTACAAAAATCCAGATAAAACAACTAAATGGCAGCACTAAACGATCTTTTGAAATAACAAAACTCAGGAAATACAACCGTGGGAGTCATGATCTTAAAAGAGAAATTGAGTAAGTCATCTGCTTCTTTACCTCGATGCAGATTGGAGGGGAAGGGGAGAAACTTACCATCATGTTATTGATTTGGCAATTATTTCCATTATGACATCATTATTTGGTTAGTATTTCACTTTTCTCCAGTATTTTATTGTCCATGTTGTGGTTTCCTGAACTTATAGACTAAATGTTTATATTTTGAGAGCCTGCGTGGATTTCCATAGTTGGTGGATTTTTGGTATTTGACTGTATTTTTAATTTTATTATTATATATTTATTTTTATCAGTATTTTAGCCTCCCGGCTGAACTTCTTCATTTCGGAAATATGCCCTCTTGAGATTGCAGACCTCTTTTGTAGTGCCTTTGTTAAATGATCTAGAGAATATAATAAATTATTTACATTATGCAAGTTATGTTCCCCATTGATTCATGTTAAAACAAATTTGATAAGCAGTATTAATAAGAAATTGTAAAAATTAATTGTTAAATAATTTATGATAAAACTTCTATGTGTAATTGTTGTCAGTTTTTGTGCTAGTAATTTGTTTTGTCTCTTTTTTAATAGATAGACAAAGATGAAGTTTCTCTTAGGAGAGTTATTGGCTCCAAAAAAGATCAATATTTTTTGAACAAAAAAATGGTCACGTATGTGTATTTTTTCTTTTGGTTTGCTTCATAATATTTAATAACACCAAATTTTTAATATATAGTGTAAAGTACCTTAATAGTATTGTTTTTATAAGTTTTTAACTTTCTTGTAGGCGGACTGATGTTATGAATCTTCTAGAGAGTGCTGGATTTTCAAGGAGTAATCCTTATTACATAGTTAAACAGGGAAAAGTAAGATCTTTTGCAGTTTATTTGTTTTTAATTTCTAGATTTGCTATTGGATAATTCTTTTTAAGAAAGAGGGATATTGTATTCATGTTTTAAATTAAGGGAAAAAAAAAAAAAAATGAACATGAAAAGACATCAGATTAATTTTTGATATTGTATTTTATCACTCCTAGCTGAGCATTTTAAGCAAAAAACCTGGTTACCATATGTTTCTCTATTCAAAAAACCTTATATGTCTCTCCATTCTTTTTCTTTCCTTTTTTTTTCCCACAAAAGTTATATAATTTTTTATGTATTTTATTTTTCGTTTTCATACAGATTTAATAAATTTTAGGCTCTGCAAAATCATTAAACTGTTTATGTCAGTTAATGTTTTAAATAAAAATCTTGGTAGATAGGATTAATGTTATTTATCTTATTTCTTTTAATTGTATTGTCGTGTTCTGCATGGTTTTAAAAGGAAATAAATGTTATGAGCAATGCAACAGCGAGTATATAACAGAAGTATTTTTGCAATAAAAACGAAAGTATAGTTATGAAACTATTTTGGAATGAAGTATATTTGTAGAGGTTTTTATTTAGTTTGCATTTTATTAGAGTAATAGGCACATGCTAAAAACATTACACAGAGTTATATCTAATTCTGTTTAGAATGTCATGTTATTTTGAATGTTGTTATTGAATATGCAGTATAATTAGAATCGTTCATGATATTTTAAAACGTTTCATTTTAATCTAAACTTAAAATATAAGCATTACAAAAGTCTTGACAATCAAAAGAATAGTTATTTCAGTAGCTTAAGTGTTTTTAAAATATTTCTTTTCATATATGTTTAAACATTGTATTTTAGTATATATTTTTGCTTTGTTGATTGACTAATTAGTTTGTGTGATTTGTCTTTAGCTTAATTTGGCAACAATTTTGACATTATTTGGTTACCTGTACCCTCATATGGAAGATCGGACTTATTTAGTGACTTTGGAGAGAAGCATTTGTTTGGGTTTCTTCTTTACATATATTTTAGTGCCATCTATCAAGTCCCATCTATTTTTTTTTTACCTTATTCTTTTCTCATATATTATGAGAAAATATATGAGAAAGTTATTCTTGAAGCATACCCCCCCCTTTTTTTTTAACCAGTTTCCGATTTGCATCCTAATAATTTGCTTGCAATTTTTCACACTATATTTCCATGAAAATTTGATTGTTTAAGAAGTACAACTTCATAAAATGCAAATTTTTGCATTCTGTATTGCTGGCCAAAATTTAATATTTCTGAAGAAATGCAAAGCATTCTTTTTCATCAGTTGGCAAACTTCACTGTCACATTATGACTCATTATAAGAAAAATGAATATACTAAATGTGAAAAGAAATACTTGTCAGAAAAATGACTGTTGGATTTCAAAAATATAAATCTGTATGTACTCAAACACATGCAAAGCATATGCTGGAGTTGCCATATAAATACTTTTTGGCAATATTGTGGGTTGCCATATAAATACTTTTTGGTGAAATCATGGGCTGTCACTTAATACTTTTGGTGACATGGTGTATTACCTCAACAATAATTTTCCCTGACATTTTGTAACTCAAATCTGATATAAGAATTAAGATTTTACTAGTATTATAGAAAAAGTCAGAGTATTACGTAATGACATTGCATCTATTGTTTGAATGGTTTGGGGATCTTTGTTTAGAGAGTTAGCATAATTTATTGTACAATTACATTGTAATTATTGGGAAATAAACCTAGAGGTAGTAGCAGGTGATCAACCAATTGTGTACTGTTAATTTTTTTTTTTTTTCACTCTGAGGTTTTGTATTTAGACACTTGCTATAACTGCTTGCGATTTCTTGTCAAGAATTGGTTCCTTTTTAGAAAAATGGGTATTGTTATTATAACTATTATTAAAAGTAACCTTCTGTATTGTGCTAGGTAAAAAGGCTGAAATTATAGTTATTTAATTAATTTATTTTATTTCTAATGGCATATTACAAAGGCACCTATAGATAGAATAAGCAAATATGGAAGAGAACAACTAAACTAAGAACAGTCCACAATATAATACAGTCAAAAGTCTTTAATTCGGACTCGTCGGGACTTCGGCGATTCTGGATTATCGGTTTTTCCGTATTATAGATCATCAGTTTAAATTTGGTAAGATGGCATGCAGAAATTATAAAATTAAAAACATGAAACCATAATTTATGAAATAAAGAGCATTTATGATCTAAAGGGTATCAAAATTTGCAAAAAAAAGCTTAATATTTTTTTTTTTTTTTACTTTATTAAAAATTTCTTTCAACGCGCGCATGCGTAAAGCATACATTATGCATAGTCGAAATTAGAAAATTGCAAACAGAAAACTATTTGATGTGTATTCGTGATATTTATAACGAGGAGGAATTTGATTTAAATCATATCAAAGAACGGAGTACACCGGGATGAAATACTGCATTTAGTAAGGAATTATAAGCCGAATAAAATAAAAACATCTGCCCTGAAGATAAGGATAGTGCTGACAGATCTACTTCCAGTTCGTTGCGCGCCACGACCCCCCCCCTTGCAGAGCAGCGTGAAATGATAAACAGATTTTGGAATGCTTATAGAAGCAAAGGATATGCCTTTGTCCATTTTTTTTAAGCAATTCCACTTTTTGTGATGGACATCGAAACATGGTTTCGCTTTGTAGATCCTTTGGCAGCTCCAGAATCGGAAATTCTTTTTGACATAATCGAAAGTTCAAGCTTACTTTTATAAAATTGCTCTAACAGTCTGTAAAAAATAATAAGCCGGATCCAATTAGAAGATTAAGGAACAACGCTATCTGCAACACTAACTGAAATAGATAATTAGATAATTTTAGTTTAGCCTATACCATCTGTTATACATTGAACGCACATGCGTAAGGCATGCGCTTACGCATGCACAGAAAGTTTGTAGCTTTGAGGTCCGGATTATAGATCATTCCGGATTATGGACGTCCGGATTAAAGACTTTTGACTGTATATAAATCTATTTTGTGTCTTGCCTCCGAGTGTCTCTGCCAGAGTGATCCAGCATTAGATGAAGCACAATGACTTAGATATGAGGCATTCATTTCCTGATCAGTGTTGCACAAGTTACAAATTGGTCTTGGGACAAACTTCAGAATAGTATGGGTTACTTTTGTGCCTAAATGTATAAGGAATTCAGCATGAATTGCATCTTCATCGAAGCTTTATTAGATATTAATTGGCTGTATGCCACAGACACTTCATCCATGGTGATTGAAGAACTAAAAATCGGGAGTTCTGCATTTGTGAAGAATTATTTTGAGTGGATCTTATACCTTCTTTAATTAATTTTATCTGCTTTCTACAGTAATCAGATTTATGTTGTCTATTGGAGAAATTATGCACAAATGTGTTTGCTATTATTTTACTTGAAGTTACAGACATTCCATTCACTAAGAAGGTCTTTAATTTAACCAGTCTCTAATTTTTGTTTTTACTTTATGCGAGAAATTTTTATGCCCTTTTTGAAAGCTTATCTAAGAAATAAAGTTTTCAAATGGTGATCTGTCTGAGAGAAAAGTCTTCTTAAACAAAGCAGTTTGTTTTTGCCAAATCCTGACGTTAGCCTATTTCATTTATTTTTCATCATTTCAAGTTCATCAGACCAGAAGCATCTGTAGCCATTAATCTTCCTTCTTGGAATACATTTTGTAATACAAAAAATTATCTTGCTTACAATATATTTGGAAATGGTTTTGACTTTTGCTCCAAAATCAATTTTGTTGGGATCAAGCACGACATTCATTACTTTCAGAAAATTCCTCCAGTATGCTTTCTTAAAATTCCATGGTGTTTTTGAAACATTTATGCTTTTATGTAAGGGTGAGAATGTTAAATCGGCAGTTACAGGTGCCATTTAAGGTTGCAACTGATCCACAATTATGTTCGGATAGTGTGCTGCTTTCATGGTCTGTTTTAGTACAACTAAGGGTCACGCAAAGCATAATGCCGCCACTACCAGCCTGTTTATGGCCTGCTGTACGGGAGAAAGCACTGTTTTGCCTGGAAGACTGTGAATCCTGACACGACCATTGACATGATGAATGAGAAAATGCCATTTACCCAACCAGGCAACTGTCTTCCACTTATCCATGATTTGGTCCTGATGTTCTCAGGCCTACTGTAGGCATAGTTGATAGTGACACTTGGTCAAGTGGAGTGGGGTCAAGTCAGTATAAATTGGATGTTTGCTGCACAGTCTTATGTCCAACAGTGTCCTCTGAACTGTGTGTTCCAGAATACTTGTACTGAGACCTGCACCGTATTGGGCTGTCAGCTGAGCCACTGTCTGGCAACGATTTTGCTGTATCAAGTGGGACCGTTTCTGACGTCCTTTTTCTTTGATGACATGTAGATGTCCAACACCTTGGTGTCTACTTCTGGTGTCACAATCATTTATTCACTTTTTATAAATGCAAACAATGGCAGATTGTGAAAAACCTACTAGTCATGCAGTTTTGGAGATATTCATTCTGATTTACAATCTGCCATCTATCATATTCGCTTAGATGAGCAGCTTTCCCCATCACTTGCAAAAGTAAGTGTAAGAATGGTTCCTTACCTTCTCCAGCAGCAGTTAAATACTATTTCCACTTAATCATGTGCCTTTCATATCATCCAGATGAGTTCATTGCAAAATGTGGGGATGGTCATGTTGTGGCTCATTAGCGTATATAGGATCTAAATTATACATATATGTATATAGGATTGCTTGAATATGTTAATTTCTAAGATGTGTTTAAACATCATAACATATAAGAAGCAGTATAATTTTTCTGTTTATATATTAATTATATTACATCAATATCTTGTAAAATAGAAATAGCTGAAGGTATAAATTTTTATATTGCAAATAACGACAAGTGCTTTGATATTTTTTGTGTTATATATTTTATACTTAAACATGAACATTTTGTACTTTTAAATAACTGCTTTGATATTAATTTTTGTGTTGTACATTTTATCTTTTCTTATTTAGGAAATAAAACTGTGTTTTAGTTATTTGTTATTTCAATTTAGATAAATCAAATGGCAACGGCTCCAGACTCTCAGCGTTTAAAATTGCTGAGAGAAGTTGCAGGTACGCGGGTGTATGATGAACGAAGAGAAGAGAGTAAAAGCATTTTAAAAGAAACTGTTGGTAGGACAGAAAAAATTGAAGATCTCCTCAAATACATTGAGGAGAGGCTAAAAACTTTAGAAGAAGAGAAAGAAGAATTGAAAGAGTATCAGAAGTGGGATAAAATGCGAAGGTATAATTTTTTTATATGCTATCTATCTTTTGTATGCTATTGAGTTCTTTTTAAGTTGCAAGTATCCTAAGTTTTACTAATGTTTATTTTATTTTAAAACTGTACTATCACTTCTTATTTTCTACTTCTGGCCAGAATTAAATGCTTTAACTTGTTTATGCAAATTGTCTTGCTAACGCTCAAGTACTTAAGTTGTGGCTTTTTGCCAAGCGAGGGAGAGAAGGAGTTTTAGGAAGCAAGCCGCTTGCCACTGTAGTTTTACGAGTTTTCACTCGGTTGCTGGTTGCCTTTAAGGCCAGAGGTTTAGCCCTCTTGATAGTTGCAAATGTACTGTAGTTTAAGCAGCTCGGCGTACTACATACGTACCTTTTTTAAATAAAGGCCAGTCTTAGTGCTAGGCATTTGTATACTAATTCAAAGTTAGTTTTTTAGTTAGAGTTTTAGTTAGTAGTTTTTATATTCTTACGTTCAGACCACAAGTGGTTGGTCTCTGTATTCCGAAGTTCGGAAGATCCTGTAAAAGATCGAAAATAAAGGGTTTCGTATACCCTTCCTGCTTGTGTTGTCTACTTCACACCTTCTTGAACATAGCTTGAGTAAGCTCCTTGTTCCGATTCAGGATCATTTATGTTTCCAAAGCAAATCAAGAGAAACACAAGTCCTGACAAAGTAGATAGTGAATTTCTTTAGTTTACAATAAGGAATAATTTAAAGGAAAATATGAATTATATTTACACTAAAAAATCAAGTTCAAACATTATTAATGTCAAGAGTTTTCACAAGTAGTCCATGTCTTTATTAATTGGAATCAACAGCTGAACTAAATTCATCTTCTTTTATTGCTACTTTGCAAATAGTTGTTTTATGTAGGATTGCTATGTTTTTTTAGAACTGACATGCATATGTAAAGGAAAAAGGTCTCTTTTGCAATATGATCTTATAGCAGTTTCTGTGTGTGCTAATTTTAAGACTGCATTTTTACTGAAGTATGTTGATGGTTTGAGCTTTCCTTTTCATGCACTAAGGTAAGATGTTTTAACAAGTATTTTATAAAGGAGATACAGTTTTGCTGTATTGGTTGCTAAAGAATCTATTAGCATTTTTCTTATGCTCATAAATTTTTATAGATAATTTTCTAGATGTGGAACTAATGTACTGAATTTTGATATTTATCTCTTCATTGCAAACTGTGATGCTATATACGCCTGATATAGTCCTTGTACTGACATCCAATATGTCTATTCTTTGCAATTTCTTGGTAAATTGGGGCTGGGGTTGCGGCAAGTTCATAACCAAATCTTTGAAAACTGAACTGATGAATGGGATTAAGAGGATAATAGAGGAATGTTTCAGCGAAATTACTTTGGTGTGATTGTTGTATCAATAGCAAATTTACTTTTGTTGAATAAACTGCAGAAACTGATTTTACTGTTAAGGTTTTCTGAAAAGTTGAGTATCTGTTATTTATTGCTGTTTCTAGAATATATTTACATTCATTTTCACAAAGCTGAATTATAGAAAAAAATTTCTAAGCTAGTTTTAAGTAAAAATAAAAAAGGAGCTATTTTACAACTATAAAATGAAAAACAATCATATGGGATTAATCTGGTGTTTGTTATTTAACTTATGTGAAGCAACCCCAAAGTTGCCAAACTTGATGACATTTTGATGTGTTTCCTGTGTCACCGTAATGGGTATTGTAATGGAATAAATGTTATTGATCACTGTATTAGCTGTAACCATAACACAACCCTCATATTGCCTCCCAATAATTTCGAGAAGCAGAAGGTACTAGAAATGTCTCGGCGACCAGATGAAAATTATATAAGGCTGGAGAGAGCACCTGCTGTCAGTTATTTAGTTATTTTTGCGAGCTGTTAGGTGAACGTGAACTGAGATATTTCCAGGTTAGCTTTCTCTTCAGGTGCGCTTTACATTGCTAAAGTTTGAGAATTCTTACCTGTATGAGAATTTCTGTGAAAAATTGCAGAATTTTGAGGTGTTTCTTATCATAAAATCAAATTTTATAAGCTTTCCTTGAACCTATGTGTATTGAATTTATTACGAACCCATATGCACACATCTTTTGGTGTTAGAAATGGGATTCAACTTTAGGTTGGCTTCTTTCAGTTTCTGAAGCACTTTTCTAAGACTTTTGATATGTTCTTCAAAACTCTTCCCAACGATAATGAAGTCATCCAGGTATAATCAGACAGGCTCCATAGGAAAGTCCTGTCATCGCGGTCTCCATGATGTGTTTGAATGTTGCCATTGCATTACATAGGCCAAACGGCATCACCTTAAGCTGCCAAAGTCCTTGTCTGGTGGTAAAAGCCGTCTTTTCTCAGTCATTAGCGTGTATGTCTACTTGCAGTATCCACATTTTAAATTAAGTGCCAAAAACCATTTCCTTCCAGAATTTCCACAGAAATTCTCATACAGGTGTTCACAGTATCACAGAGGGCAATCAGTAGTAATACTTCAAACTACTTACGCTAAACACAATGTAATGCAAGGCATCTCTCTCTGGCCTCATATAGTTTTCATCCAGCTGCCATGATATTTCTTATACCTTGTGGAAGCAAAAAAGTGTCTTATGTATGCAGTCTATTACGAACCTGTACGCACACAACAATATATATATAGTACAAAGTCCATAATCCAGACTTGTTGCGGCTTCTGCGATTCCGGATTAGGATTTTTTCCGGATTATAGATTTTCAATTTAAATCTGGTAAGATGGCATGCAGAAATTATACACTTAAAAATATATGAAACCGTAATTTATGAAATGAAGAGCAATTGTGATCTAAAGGGTATCAAATTTTACAAAAATAAATAAATAAAAATAAAAATAAAAATAAAATAAATAAAAATAAAAAAAAGCTTATTATTTATTTGTTTACTTTATTAAAAATTTCTTTCAATGCGCGCATTCTCTATGCATATGCATAAAGATTGTGGCTTTGAGGTCTGGATTATAGATCATTCCGGATAATGAGCGTCCAGATTACAGTCTTTGTACTGTATATATATTATTGAATTAATGAACTGAAATTCATTGAAATCAAAATAAATTTCCTAATACTTGTGCAATAGCTTCAAAGTACGATAATAATAATTTATTTACTAAGAAATATTGATTATATTATCTCGTAATATAAATTTAGTAGAATGTATCTAAATAAAGCAACCCAGAAGTATGAAATTTAATCCCGAAAATATTTTAAAAGAAAACTTGAATTTAAATCGTGAAAACAGAAATTCGAACTTTTAATATGAAAATTAATAAACCAAGTAATTATCATCATTGATCGGAAGTTGGTTGACTACTCAAGGGGACAAACCAACCTCCATTCAATTAACAATAATTAATAAATGTGAAGGTGTTTCGGCTTTTTCTCAAGTAAGAATAATGATGCCAAACTGGCAATTTTCGAGTTTGAATTCAATCATTGAGATTAAAGAGATGAATTAAGATGGAGTAGTTCTGTAAGTTAATGGATTTTTAGAAATTTTGACTTATTATAGCCAAATTAAGTAGAGTTCTATAAAGAATTCATTTTGCATGTAGCATATCCATTAAGTTAATGGATTTTTTTTTGGAATCTAGAGTTAATATTGCCAAATTAAGTAGTAAAAATATTTTATTATATACTTGAGTAAAGTGTTCCTCGATACTCTCACTTTCATGCATGTTAATTCAAAACTGTTTTTATAAATGTAATAAACAGAAACGAATCTTTGCCATATTTATGAAATAGAATTCAAAGTAATCGTAATAAACATGAGAAAGAAAATAAACAATGCAATCTTTGCAAAAATTAATGAAATATAAATTGAAAACTGAAATATATATAAAAAAGGGTATATGGAAATATACAAAGTTCTGAGGGTTGCACAATTTGTGTGCAGAAAATAAATCTGATAATAATCTGAAGGTATTGTGACTTCAGAAAATGAGAGATTACTAGTTACTGAACATGTATGGGGCTAAACTCCAACAAAATTTTATATTAAACTGCAGGAAATTTATAATGATCAGGTAGGGGATCGTTGTACAACTTTACATTGCGTTGCTGTGCTTTCATGAATGATGTGTAAAATATACATGATGGTTGAAGATTAGGAACACCGAAAATATCAACAAATTAAGGTACTACTGGCACAAGAGCCGGGGCAGCGGATTCAACTGCAAGGTGCCACAGAACTAAGGAATGAAAAATTTTAGAAGTACTGGTGTGCAAAATAACCTAGTAGTCCTAACCTAGTGTGATATTTGTGCCAAGCTAAAGAGAAAGAAGTTTGTCAAGCAACATGCCAGAAAATATCACAAGGTAAAGTGATTTCACCAGGATCAGTATGCTGTATTTTGACAGAAATTTTGTTGCAGGGAAAAGCCTGTGTCTTGTTGACCTCTCATGGTTTGATGCAATGTTATTGAAATGTATATTTGATAATGAAGGTGAAGAATTTCCATTTTTAATAATGGCAACTGACAAAACAGGAATTAAAAGCTCTGGCCAGCTTTGAAATTATTGTCAATCCAGTGAAGTCCATTCTTCCTGCAACCTAAAAAATTTCAACATGCTGAATTTCTGGTGAAATAAATGCGGATCTCTGCCTAGAATTATTAAAGAATTATAACAAATAATTACGTTTTATGTGAAAAAAGTGTTAACTGCAGCATGTTACTGTAAGTGGTTGTAAACATTTTGACAAATTGCATAAAATTTACTTGTCTTAAGGATGAGAAATGAATTTTTAAGATACCCATACATGAGAAAATTTTGACAAGTCTCCTAACTAGTAGCAGAGAACCTAACGTCAGTAACCAAAATTTCCCCTAATTTAAAACACTTTCCCAAACTGAAAGACCTCCCTGTGTGGAAGCGATTTTCATTTTTGAAATGGGTTTTTTCAGCAGTTACTAAGCCATTCGAGAACTGAATAAAATTGAATAAAAGTAGCAAATCTTCTAAGACATTGATTGGATAATGA